TACAATTTATTTATAAAGCAGGTTAAATGAATTGAAGTTAAACAGAGACTTTTGGTGCTCAATGCAAGAACTTAGAATCCTCAAAGGTACAGGCAAAAATCAAACCAGAGCACTACTTCATGACCCAAGGAAAGAAAGACCAAAGATGAAGCACATCTTTACACCAGGACTGTGGGTGTCTTACTGGAAGCAATCCAACCACTTACTGCAGTATAAATATATCCTCGGAGATCCTTCAAGGGAAAGTTAGTTGAGAACCTCAGTTCAGTACTAGCTAGCCAAAATATCAGGAAACGCCTAATAAAGATTCAATGAGCAGCAAGACCAGCTTGAGCAGGATATGGCAAGCATTCAGTCTTTTAGTACGATCACATTAAGCTGAGGTTATGACAAGGGTAATGGTGTGCAGGAGCATAGATAACCATGTTGACTCTTTGGGATTTAATTCATAGTTGGATTTCATAGGATTTGACAGGCCAAAATCCCAGTATGCTGGCCCGTGCATGCGTAATCTATCAACAACCAAAGAAAAATGATCAGCCAAATGGCATTCTCTTTTCTTACCACAAGTCTTTATTACGTAAACCTCAGAGTAGGTTATGTACTCTAACATAGAACAGAGCTGGAAATTTAAGCCCGGATTAAATCAAAATGTTGACCCACTAAACTCTAAAACCAAGACACTGACAGCAGGTTTCTATTGGGTTTGTAATTTACAATTGGCAGGAAGGTCAATGTTTTGATTCAATCAGGGTTTTATTTCAATGCTCAGAAGAGGAAGAAAATCTGGAAGAATATTTATGATACATTGGCCTACTTGTACATTAGTTTGAACACAGTTTATGGCACGGTTTGGAGGTGTTCTGAGGTTTTTTTTTAAATTACTCATCTATTCCCCAGACCACATATCAATTATAAACATTTTCACAAAGCCAAAACTGTTCCCAAAGGGGTAAAATATGAAGATCTTATTCATCACACATGAATAGCAATATTGATGATAACTTGATAGAACACTGCATAAAATAAGCTCTCATATGAATCCTTCAGTAAACAGAGATAGTTAAGAGCATTTATCGCACTGTGAAAAACACTTTACAGGTTTCCCTCCAATTTTGGAGGACCTTAATAAAAGGCTCCAACCAAACACTACAGTAACACAAAGGGATTATAGAGAAGTTGTCATTAATAAGGCAACTCAATCTAAACCTGGATGTGAAAAGCATAGAAAGAAATCAGTTTCAAACCCCTCCTTGTGCATTCTTTACAGCTTTCGGTGGGATTCTGAAGGGAGCTTTCTTGCAGACCATCTCCTGCTTTGAGCTGAGGTGGGCCTGACTTGAGGCCAGAGCAGTGGAGAAAGAAGGACAAGCTGAAGCATATTTCTTTAACCCAGTGGGGTGGAAACATCTTAAGTCATCACAATTGATGAAATCATTAATCATCCCATTCTTTTCACTTATATGGACTCCAGAACTACCAATTGTTAACCGTTTTGCCGTTTTTTCAGTATACTGGAAGAAGGAAAACAATTTGGAGGGAGGCCCGGAATTCTCAAAGTCATCCTTTCACTACCATCAAACCATAAAAATGTCTATTGGTATTTTAATGTTTTCTTTGTTTTCAACTGAAAACAGTAAGGCCTTTTCTTATCACAGCAATAAAGAAGCATGGTATGACGAGCCTTTACTGTAAAACCTCAATTTTAGCAGCATTATCCAAAATATACATAAAGAACAATCTGAAAAGCAACCATAACTTTACTATATATTTTCATAAAGGCATTATTTGGTATAAGACTGTTAAATAAGTATGATTGTCTAGAGTGCTTCGCTTCACAGCTATTTCTCAGGAAGACTCCCTGCACAAAACAAGAAATCTGCTTGCTATAGATCTAAGCAGATGCAAAACACAAAATATGTTTTTTTTTAAAAAGTGTCACTTGGATTGAAATTAAGTGCATGCAGCTGTAAATGACTTCAACAGCTGGAGCTCGTGCTGTTGAGTGACATCACTGCAGGCACCCCAGCCAAACAATTAAACTGAAAACACATTATCACAGCACCATTACATAAACCAATCTTATACACAAGGCGACCAACACCCTCATTTCTGTTTATCCTGCTTGTAAAGCCTTTTCACTGCCCCCCCCCCCCTTAAACTATACAATAACAGTTTATCAGAATTCTTTTTTATCAATTATTGGTCCATGTAACCAGTATCTCATTTCTTTCTTGCTTTCTGCTCTATTCTGTGTATTTCTCCCCGTTATTTCCTCTCTGACTTAAATGCCAGGCTGACAAATGGTTCAAGTTTATCAATGGACAAAAATGCAAAAAGCTCCTGTAATGGACTTTTAATATACATTTTCCACTAATATCCATCAAGACAACCAAGTTACTTTGCTGTTACAGTTTCTCAACATGTATCAAGGGCAACCTAGAATCGCAGAGAATACCACAAGCTAAAGTAAATTAAAGTTAGCAAATTAAAATACATACAGTATAAGGGATATAAGACATCTAAATTAAAAATTACATGAAAGGACTGCAACTCCAGAACTACTCTAAACTATTAACAGCTGGTACAATTAGAATTTTTCAGCTTGGCATTTCTACTTTATTCTTACAAACACTACTGCAATTTCTTTAAATGCTCACCTTTTCCATAACTGCCAGGTTTATTTTATGAGGGGTTTAAGATGCTGTAGCTCTAGCATGTTTTGTTATCCAAAAACTGAATATGAGTGACTCAGTGTGTCTGGAGACACAGAAACCTGCCAGGCTCGGTCTTGTAGCCTGTCTGTGGGACACAAGTCTAAGAGATTAATCCAAAACTGGAGAGAAAAGTGTAATTTTCCCAAAAGCCAAAACTATCTTTAATCACTTTTTATCAAAATTCATTATTTATCTGAAAAGTGCATGGTGATTAAGTGTTATACAGGAACATTTTTCTTCTAAACATTTTAGAAAAAATACTGACCAAAAATATAGGCCTCAACTGTGACACAGAGTTAGGTGTTGCCACGGTAACTTCCAAATTGCCAAGTGCTGTAGCAGCTTTCGGTTAAACCCAAGTTCACTCCAAGAACTGCTCACTTAAACACGTAGCCATATAAACTCAGTGTTACATATTGTGTGATTATTCATGAAAAGTTTGCTTAGCCTAACAGAAAGCAGGTGTAGTTCTGTTTTGATTTATTCTGTTTGTGCTGTAACCTTTCAAGGCAATACGGCATTTGGAGAGCAAGCAAATACAGTACAACCATATGCTAAACATAACAGAATGATAGAGGTCAGAATGCATCATGCATGCAAAAAGGTAAATCAAGAACAGGATTGTTTTGCAGGGTAAAATTTTCCAAAATGTCAGCTCCATGAAACTGTTCCGTCATAAAGCAGCACGGAACACAAGATGTGTACCATGTTAGAAATACCTTCAAAAGCATCCTCATCAGATTTTATTTCAGTGGAGAGATCCAACAGAGGATTCCTGAGTAGTAAGACCTAAACATAGAAACTTATATATGGAAAATTCCCTTATCATTCCCTCTCACTCTAAGAGCAGTCCGTGCAGTTCATAAAACAACTAACAGAAAGGTTCCTCTGCATCTCACATTGTTAGGTGGGTCTGTTGCAATGGGATCTCATTAGCTCACTGATGAAATATAGTTGTTCAAAGGGATTGAGAGCATTACCTGAAAGCAGCATCTTATTTGAAGCTAGTTAACTCTATTTGGAGAAAGGCATCACCACTGAGGTTAAGACTGATTCATCAATCAACAGCTGTTTACCTCTGGTGGCAGTTGTGACAGTAAACAGTAACAACCAACAACCAACAGTAAAAGGCGCACAGATTACACCCTGGACAGGACAGAGTCCATTGTAGAGTGCACAAACAATTTTGAGACAGCAGCTTACCTAGTCAATATGTTTAACATGTCTTTGAAGGTAGAAGAAACTGGATCACCCATCAAAAACATACATACTGTACACTTGAAAATAACATACAAACTCCACACGGTCAGATATCAAACAGAGGACTTAGGAGCTTCAAAGATTGATTTCCTGTTTTGTACCCATTGTTGGAACCATACACGGCAGGACTTCTGAAAGCCAAAGTGAAAGCCAAGTGTCATGGTAATGAAAACTGATCATTTTCTGTTATCTCATTTACAACTCTGAACAGACTGCCTAATCCTTGCACTCAGCATCTTTCTAGAATCCTCCAAGCACTGTAAAAGAACAAAACATCTTTGAGAAGTCTGATTCATGCAAGTGAAAAGTAGAGTCTCTTAAAATCAGTTCACAGCAGATGAGAAGCTGTGTGCTATAGTACACTAATGGCGAGATTCAGTTTAAAGAAGTTCCATACTGTATCAATCTGGCACAGACTCTCTACTTTCACTGTGAGCTTCAGCACACAAACTCTGTAAGAGGTCACGCTTTCAAGTCAACTGCAGTCTTGCAACCAGAGGGAATCTGCTGCACTCTCTGCTTAATAGACGGTCAAGCAAGAATGGAAGCCCACAAAAAGTGGAGACATGTCTTTCCCGAACCAATGCCACGCAGCACCCTATAGGATTAGACAGCTTTCAAAACTCTGCCTTTGAACACTGCATGCATTATTTATAAACTGCAGGGAATTATCCTGGAAATCAAATGACTCGGTTCAACCTGCAGTTGATTAAAACATAATTTGCTACACATCTAAAGAATATTTGTTAACACATGAAGAGCTCGTAAAGAAGTAATGACCAGTTGTGCATTCAGACATGCACACACAAAGTATATTACAAATAGACGAAGCAGCAGCACATACATTACGCTCAACAAAAATCAATAAGCATTTCACATCATGAAAAACTAATAAAGAGGCATGCAGCCTTTCAATGCAGGTCCCTGCATGTTAAGAGCTCTCTTCTCAGGCAGTATAATCCCGTTTCCCAAGCAAAGACAGCAATTCTGTCTTTTCCACAAATCAGGGCAATTCTTACTAACCTGTAACAGATTCCGAATTTTCCTTGCAAAGGAAAGGCTTCACCTGGTCTGTGTCAGACAGCTCCGGAGTTTCTTTTCAAATTCCAAAGAAGCACTGTGGTCAGTCCCCCCTTTACATTCTGAGAGCGAACAGGGCTCCAAAGAGAGATGAGACACTGTTGCTGTGCTTCACACTTCTACTCTCTCCCTAACATTTGCTGCTTTATCTCACAGCACAGGAACCCGAGCAGAGAAAAGCGATACTAGGGAACTTATCTGGAGGGCAGGGAGAGCAGCCTCTGGCATGGGCTTTTTTTTTTCTAAAGAGGGGAGGAGCAAGGACACGCTGATTAGAATGCTCCAGGCACATGCAGGGACAGCCACAACAGCTTGACTTCTTTGGTTGCAGGCTTTTGTTCAGTTTTCCAGGAGAGTTTACGCTTTTTGGCCCATTCTGTGGGAGAATGTGGGGGGAAGGGAGCTTACAAACCACCACAATTAAATACAAGGTATTTGCACTAACTATTACCCTCCCCCTCCTTCACGCTCCTCTTATTCACACACACTGAAAACATGCTGTACTTCCGTGAAATCACTTTTACAGTTCAAATTTCGAAACTCGTATGAATAACGCTTAATTACTTGGAAACATGAAAGGACACAGCTGCTTTTCACAATGCAAACTGAGCGCCTCCACCGCCACTCCGATCTGTAAGTGGGATCTCAAACAGCCGAAGTCATCTAGAAATTCTTTAGCAGAAGTTCAGCCTGGAAGCTGAAATGCAACAAAGAATGATGGCAGCAATTGTTTTGCAATCATATAACCACTGAAGACTTTTATAAAGACAAAATGCTGTTTAGAGCAGCATATATTTAAAAAGAAACTTGCACATTAGATCACCAAACCAGCTAACTTTACAAGCATGCTGTATTGCAAACATCTTCTACAGTCTTGGATGAATTTAACTCTCTATTTTTAAAATAATTTTATTTTAGTGTAAAAAATCACAACCTATGTAATGTGGCCTGTTCCTAAAACCTCTGCCCCAAAAGAACATTTTTGCAAAAGGCTACAGAAAATACCTTAAGCTAATTCCCCTAGTACCAATGTAAAAGTAAACAAATTTGAAAATAGAGTTAAGTCATGTAAAACCAAAAAATGAATCCAGGATAAAACAGAAAAACAATGCCGTTGTTGATCGTTGTACATACTCGAATGAAGCAGATTCCAATTCACCTAAAAGTAACACGACATAAAAGATTCGTACTGCATTCAGTCAATATATTTTTCAAAAGCAAGATGGCTTTAATATTCATAAATGCAATCTCCCCATGTGATAACTGTATTTATTGTTTTCGTGAGACATATTCTATCCTTCACAGTACAAAACTCTTCAGCACAATGCCTCGCATCTGTAACCGTTTAATCAGGCCACTGAATTATCTGACGCTCTGCAGGACTGGGAAGAGACAGAAATCATCCAGCACTTTGCACTGCCAAGATTATGAATACCTCTGTATGTGACATCACACATATTTTGCCTTAGGTTTCACAACTTGAATCTCTCAATCAAAATATGGATAATTTCTTTTACTATGTGTGGTTTCGTGCCCTACACCTGAAAAACACTTTAATAACATAAATAAACATTTGCAAAAAAAAAAACTAGTTATCCCCAATGTGAAAAAAAAAATTCCGGTCAGTTTCCACCCAACCTCCCCCTGCCAAATAAAAAAAAACTCTTCCCACGTAGAGCTGAGCATTCAAATGCCATGCAATCTAACGCAATCCAAGAGTTTAGGCTATAGAGCCAATAAAAGTCACTTCAAAATTTAAGGACTAAGAACAGAATTGTTTTAATGTCTTCTTAATGTAAATTCTCAAAAATGAAAGACTGGAGCTTGTGGGCTCTCGTGGCAACAGATCAAAGAAAACATTTAAAGTGCATCAAACTAACATCTGAAATCCTTATCTGCATGGATGTGTTTTAATTGGTTCATGCTTCTCTCAATGGTTTCTTGTGTAATGCATTACAGAAAATGGATGCCAAAAGTTTCACTTTCCTAAATAATTAATACAATATTACATCACAAAACAGGCCTATCCATCAGTCTACAAACCTTTAGTAGCAAGAGGTTCTGCCAGCTTGCTATTTGTGGGGGTACTTGTCAGGGATGCCCACTTTCACCTATTGTGTGCCCAGGCTTTGGAACCACCAGCTTAGACTGTTCATCAAATCTACTATTTATTTGTAATACCTTTTCTGCTAACAGTACTCAGCATTGTATCATCTATGCAGACGACAATAATATGTTGACTGGCTTTCAAACTCTGCATTATCTGCCAAGTTCAAACTAATGAAGTCTTTTTTTTGTTTGTTTTATCAGGGTATAAGATCAATTGGTCCAAGTCAACGTGAATACTTTTAACGTTGAAATGGATAACTTTGATACCAACATTTAGTCCTTGTTACATGTCAACACAACCAATTGAAAAGAGTCTGAATCCTACAGATGCTAACGTGAAAAAAACTCTTGCCAGTCAAGCATTTGTTGCCGTAACTAAAATTCAAGATTTTTTGCTTAACACTTTGCTTAAACTTTCTCCCTCTTGAAGGTATTGGGGATTGACAGCTTATGCTAATTTCTTAATTCATTTGGAAAAGCAGATGACCACATATTAAATTCTTCACTCAGCACTGTGCGAGTTCTGCTGACGGCTTAGCTTAGCTAAACTCTAAATCTTATTGCTACTCCTTTGTTCGGCAAGTGCTGTCTCCTTGGTTTAATCCTGACACTCCTGCAACTTGAAGAATGTGCTCATCTTAAAGCTTGCAATCTCAATAAGAGCTTTCTGAGTACTTTTTTTACGTACATCTGTATTCTGCAATGTTATGGTGTGTCCCCTGGGGGTTGGGGTACAGGATGTCTATTCACTCAAATATACTATTGTATATAATGGGACGGATTTCAGGGGCTGATTAACAAAGTGATTGGATTCTTCTATTTGTATTTTCCTGTCATAATTTACACCGAAGATATGACTGTTACAAATTTGGCTTCACAAATCTTCCAGAATTATACAAGGATACCCTTATATGTTCTGCAGCATACTGGACCAAATATGTACTGTAAATGCTATAATATAAAGCAGGTTCCTAGTGCTGCACATACATTCTATCCATTCTATCCACATTTCTTACGTTCTGGAAATACCAGTCATCATCTTGGGCTACACGGTGGTGCAGTGGTAAGCATTCCAGTGCTGGGGTCCTGGGTTCAGTTCCAGACTTGGGGAGCTTTCTGCGTGGAGTTTGCATGTTCACCCTGTATTCACGTGGGTTTCCTGCTGGTGCTCTGGTTTCCTCCCACAGTCCATAGACATACAGAAAAATGGCCCTGGTGTGTGCCCTATGCTGGAATAGGTTCCAGCTCCCCCATGAAACTCAACAGTGGATGAAGCAGTCAGAAAAGGATGGATGGACGGACAGTTTTTGTCTATTCTTGACAAGAACATTCGTAGTTCTCTTACAGGGCTGTTGTTGAATGGTGGCTGATCTTGGCCTGTTGCCCCAGCATCAGCAAATTGTGGTTTAAACAATGGTGGTTCATCACTGGAGGCCTCCTCAATCCCCATCCTACCACCATCGTATTTTGGCCTATTTTAGGGTAATATAAGGAGAGAGTTCAGGTTCATGGTGGAAGAAGGGATGGGGGAACACTGGGTGCCTTGAATGCTTCTCCCGATACACACAAATTGTTATAACATGGTACTTCTACCATGGAGTCTGAATTTATTTTAGAAGTTTTTTGGTAAGAATTCGAAGGGGTGGTGATAAATCATTGTATTATTTCATTCTGTTTTTGAAAAATAAAAATAAAACTAATAAGAATTGGTCGACCAAAAACTGCAGACTTTGTGCTCATACAGAGCACATTATTCATCTCAAACTCTGCATGTAAGCCCTCTTTTTAATTAGAGTAATCTGTAACAAGGCATCATTTACAGTTTTTTCTTAATCAATGCACTTCTATTCTACTGAACACTGCATTAATTAGAATGCAGCATGACATTTTAGCTCTATATAATGTGGTCAAAGGGACTGTAAACTCCCCTGTATTATTGTTCACCAGTTAGTATGGCTGCTGGGGATAAAAACTTCCCAGCTGTATGCAAAGCGATATGCAATATTGCATAAAAATGAATGTATAATTAGTTCTCCTTTTATTTTAGCATTCATCTGAATGAAGGCATTTTGACATCTGGGGCATCACCAATGCCAGAATTTCAATTTTCTGTAACCACTTGGATTGAATTTCTCTTAGGGTGTATGCACTTCTTCTGGTCTGCTGGCTCTTTAAGTCAAGTTGTCTTGAGAAATATTAAAAAAAAAACCAATATAACACACCAAAGAAAGATCCAGATCAGAAATGAGGTAATACATATAAACAGTGGTTTGGTGAGCTTTAGTTCTTGGAGGAATAATCTTTATTAGGGCCAATCAAGTTGTTAAAGCATTTAGATTAAAAAGCCTCCTGAGGGTGGGGTGGTGATAGTGCGGTAAATACATGTAAATACAAGAAAAAAAGAAACATTGAAACTATCTTTCAAGTAATGCTTCCTTAAATCGAGCTTGAAACGCCCTGTGAAAGAGCACTCAGGCAGAACCGAGAGCACCGAAAAGCCAAACTACAGATAATTGTCATCACAGACAAGAAATGTTAGCCTTCATTTAAACCCATATAAATCCAACTGGAGGGTTTTGTTCATTTTCCGGTCTCATGAAACATCCACTCTTTAAAGAGCATTTTTCTCCAAAACTCACAACAGAACCAATCATTAAAATCAAAACCTTTGCCCCAAAATAACTTGTTTTTTTTCCCCACAAGGACCTAAACAGAGAGCACTCTAAAATTACCACATTTTTTATGTCGTAATTGTACGCTGAACTGCGGCTGTCACATTCTCCGGTCTAAAAAGAGTTGCTGGGATATACATTTTCTGACAAACTGCACTATATGAGCACTTTTGAAAGTTTTGCTATTACGTACTTACACAATTGTCCAGTCTTTTTAGACAAAAGAAGAAACATTTAATCACTTTTATTTGGTAAGATTACCAAATTGCCTTAAAGTAGCTTTCCATTTTCATGGTGATTCTTTTAGTTTGATTCAGAATTTGTTTACCATCTGCAGCAACACAAGCACAGTTCTAGTGAGAGGTAAAATGGACCAACAAAGGACAATCATACATCAGTATTGTGTAACCTCTTCTTGTAGG